TGTGTGTGTGTTGAAATGAGAATGAACCTTCCGATAACGCCGCCTCCCCCTCGAAAATTCGGTGGACAAGAATATAGCTTCGTTTGGAAAAAACAGAAAGAAAGAGAAAGAAAAACTCGGTGGACGACATCCAGCCCGCCGGATAGAGTGGTGGTCGCCATGGCCCCCCGCTCGACTCATCTCGAAATGTGCAAAACGAGAGTGAATCTTCGGCCAGGACATGGAAAGATACACCACCATTACTTTGTGTCTTTTGTGCATGTCGAGAGTAGTGGAGAGAGCCCCATGCTGAAGAACAACGTGGAAAGGGAGTGACCTTAGGGGATGCTATACGTCCACGGACGTATGAACAGAAAGCAACCCGGGATTTCACTACCGTCTTCACCCATGTAGAACGCCCGGTCACTAAAGCTGCATTTGGCACACGTGTCAGTCCAGATGCAGCGGTAATGACCGGGTGTTTTACTCGGGTGAAGACTGCAGGTAGGCTCTCTAATGACTCTCTATGGAACAAGTACAAGGGTGAGTACGCCCTTCGTTCATATGTCAAGGGGCTCAGCCCCGGGTTGATCCCTCTTCGGCTAAATAGGTGTCCGCCTCGATGTCCAGCCTTCTCCCACGCGCTGTTCCATCCTCGGTGCCTCTTCACAGGTCGCCGTATTCTTAGACCGCAAGGGCAGGGAGGTGGGTGCGCCGCATCACCTGACAAGGAGGCGTGGCTGGGCGACAGGCAGGCGGACGAGGAGGAGTGGGAAAGGCAGGAGGAGGCGAAGGGGGAGAGGGAGAGGGGAAGGAAAAGGGGAACGACAAGTCTCGAAGCCTGGGTGCCAACTGTGGAAATCGGACGGAGGAGGCGGAGGAGGAGGAGGAGGAGGAGGACGGGGAGGAGGGGTAGGAAAAGAGGCAGACTCGAAAGGAGGAGGGGGAGGAGGGGGTGGGAAAAAAGGGAGACTCGGAAAGAGGAGGAGGAGGAGGAGGGAGGAGGAGGCAGTAGGAGGGAGGAGGAGGGAGGAGGAGGGAGGAGGAGGCAAAAAGCGGAACGACAAGTGTCGAAGCCTGGGTGCCAACTGTGGAAATCCGAAGGACGGGGAGGAGAGAGGAGTTTTTGACTGCCTGCCACATGTGAGGGAGGTGAGGAGTGCCAGGGTGAGCATATCACGGAGCCGAGCAGCAGTTGCCCAGCGTCTGAATCATAGGAGAGAAGGAAGAGCAGGTGAAATGAATTTCCTTAACCCCTCCCGTGAGCCTGGTCTCTATCAAAAGGGAAGATTCCAATTGATTTAGGCTCATTTAGCCCAGTTCTTTTATCTTTTTTGTTTTTCCTTTCCCAGAAACTTTTAGTATTCTCTTTCTCTTCGTGTCTGGCAATCAATATGTCCAATGTAGGGTCACAAATGGTAGTCTAAGAATTCTGGCAAATGAAGCCCGGCCCTCAGTAAGCATAAAAAAGCCCATGTAGAGTGCGCAATCATCTTAATCAGGGGTAAACACCGAGATGGCCACTAAAAGCGGACCCCATGGCCACATGCGTGGAGGGGCCGTGCTAATGGAACATGTGTGTGGCCACGAGACAGGGAAATATATGCCAAAATGGCCATCATCAGAAGGTAATTATGCCTATTGATTGGTCATCATCAGAAGGAGAGTCCGGGGCGATGCGACCTTGCCCCTGAGCCAGCAGGCACGGTTGAAGAACGATGATCAGCGGAGGGGCTACGATTCCACTGGATTCGCCGCTACTAACCGTCCTCTCTCTCTCTGTCTCTCTCTCTCTCTGTCTCTCTCTCTCCCCTCCCTCCATACATCCCTCCCTGCATCCCTCCCTCCCTCTTCCCCCTCTCCTGTCTCTGTGTTATCCCGACACCCATCAGAATATCCCGACAGCTTCCCCTTCCCGATGCGTATTCCAGTCGTGGAACGTGAGCGCTGTGTGTGTGTGTGTGTGTGTGTGTGTGTGTGTGTGTGTGTGTGTGTGTGTGTGTGAGAGAGAGAGAGAGAGAGAGAGAGAGAGAGAGAGAGGAGGTGGGGTGGTCATCTGCTGGCGAAGCAATCTATTACACTGATCTTCACGTAACCTAATGCAACATTTCGCTTGTTGAAAATCACAGGGAAGACGATCGAGCTTCATACAGGAGGCAATCTACGTCAGCTTGTTGGATCGCCACCCCTTTATCCCGAATTTGTCTTCAAAAATCATTCTGGGTTCACCGACCATATTCAGCTCCTTTTTTTTTCCTGTTTTTTTCCTGTGTGTGTGTGCGCGCGCGCGCGCGCGCGAGAGAGAGAGAGAGAGAGAGAGAGAGAGAGAGAGAGCAAAACCGGGGAAAAGTGAAAATGAGCCACGGCTGCGGGGACAAAAATCCGTGACGAAAAGGCCCAATTTTCTTTCTTCTTTTTTTTCCTCCTTATTCACAAGGGCAACGGTCTTGAGATTTCATCAGTAAACTGACCGGCCCCAGGGGTGAAGTCCCACCGCCCAAGTTGAGTTTTCTCAACGCTGAGCTTTCTATCACGTTTGGCAAGGTGGAACGGATCTCTGCCTTTGATTTATATTGCGAATCTAAGGGCCTCGCCACACCACTCTTGAAAACTCTTTTTCAAGAGTTGCTGCATAGCCACACAGCCTCCTGACACTTGGGGCAGTCAAGAGCAGCTCTTGAAAGAGTGGCTCTTGAAACCCTTTCAAGAGCAGCTCTTGAAAGAGTGGAAACCCCAGCCTGCAACTCGTGCATTTCCAAGTGTCTCTTGCCGAACCCTTGACGGACTATCGATTTTTGAGACTTGTCAGGCCGTTATACTGAGGGCATGCGAAGAAAAAAACAAAGCTGTACTACTGTCGTTTTTCATCCTGTGTCCAACTGCGTCGCCCTTTCGAGAGTGCTGTGCGGCGAGGGGCCGAAAACTCTTGAAAACCCAACTCTTGAGAATGTCTGACAGCTCTTGACGAATTTCCCCGTTTCAAGAGWRGTGTGGCGAGGCCCTAATGGTGCGGAAATWCAGGAGAAWAAGGGTCTCGCTCCACTACTGTCCACTGTACAAAAAYGGACAGTCGTACTTCGCTCCACTTACTGTCCACTGTACATGTGCAAAATGGCTTGGACAGTTTTTAGAAACCCCGTCGAAAATCTACTGTCGGTGAATGTACAGCTCCCAGCCTGCAAAATTCGTTCAGTGGAAAGTCCTTCAAGGGACTCACCGTGAGGACCCGAATTTGGAGAGTGCACCTAGAGTCCGGGYGGACAAAATCCTTTGGACGGCCTKTCTTGTAGTYCTATYTCTGCGTCCGTAGTGAACTCACGAATTTGAGAGGTGGACAGCGGACAGTAAGTGGAGCRATGTCGCATTTTCCACTGTCCGCKTTACAATATTTCGCTCTGACAACTGTCCATCAACTGTCCGAAAAATTGTACAGTGGACAGTGGTGGAGCGAGACCCTAACCTATTAGTTTTGGTCATTTTGTGGATTTTTTATTTGACGTGAAATCCGTTTTGTTTGGCCCTTTCGGGGCGGGAAACCATTTTAACTTGAGAAACTACCCTAACCACCCCCGGGGTAGATTTCTCAACTTACGAGCCTTTCTTTTTTTTGTTTTTTAGACATCATTACATCCTCAAACGGATACGCCAAGTTTGGCGAGTTGGCGCCTGGTTGCACTTACTCGCCAAACTTGGCGAATGCAAAATGTGTCAGACGGCTCGCCACACCGTGGACACAAGTTGTGGAGACTGAATTCGGTTTCCCCGCCTGTGCACGGCCGTTTGTGGAGGGTGGTCTTCGGACCTCTCCCGTGTGCTGTGTGTCTATTCAACGGGCAACGGCAAAGTTTCAACGCTGTTGTACCCGTTGAACAGCACCCAGGGCCCAGTTGAATCCCCGTTGAATAGTACAGCGGTCCCTCCCCGTTGAATACTGTTCGGGGAGGGCGCATTGGGCCTCGGACAGATCGCTGGACGCGCGTGAACCAAAAAAAAAAATCATCCCGTTGAATCCCTGTTGAATCCCGTTGAATCCCGTTGAATCCTATGAAACACCCGCGGACGTGTCCACGGGTCCGATCTCGGATGGCTGACGCAGACGGGCGGATGACCGCATCCGCGGCCGACCTGGTCCGCACCGCGGACCCGATTTTACCAGAATTTTCCTGAATTAAAGAGTAGGTTAAAAAAAAAATTTAAAAAAATGGGGTTGTAGGGAATTTTAAGCCCTACAACCCCTTTTTTTTTTTTGGAATCCGACTTTGTTTCGGATTTAAAAAAAAATCAAAACTAAATTCGATTAAAAAAATAAAAAATAAAAAAAATAAAGACAAGTTGGATTTTTTTTTTGTCATTTTTTATCATCAGATGTATGGTCCCTGAGTTCACCTGTATTTTTTAGAAATGAATTTCTGTTTTTTGCAGGGGTATGAGGTGTTTTAGAAAAATAAAGATACAAAATTTAAAAATAAATAAACAAAAAAGTTGAAAAAAAAAAAGGTTTGATTGGTTGATTGATATTGATTGATTGATTGATTGATTGTGTGTGTGTGTGTGTGTGTGTGTGTGTGTGTGTGTGCGTGTGCCCGTGGTCGTGGGGGTGGGGCGACCCCT